AAGGAAGTGTGTCAACATACAGGAAGAAGACACATTATATCATTTTGAACTGCACAGTGAACTTTGAACTGTTAGCAGGTGCTTTTTGAAACAAGAAGACATCACATGATCTTCTAATATACTTGAATTTGTGAAACTATAAGAAGTCAGCCAACAGAGTGTGCTGCCATAGAGACTCTCAGCAACAGAGAGGTGCATTCGAAACAAGTGACGAACTATGTCCACTTTTACCGTCAATTCAAGACGAAGACACCTGTGTTCATTATGTTTATTTTAGTAATACTATTAATCTGATGAATTGTTTATTATATTATTTCCATGTATTTCAATTTTGAATTTAATTTGCAATATTGTATACTTTTATGATTTCAGTATTATGTGTAACGCAATTTTTAGAGAGAGAGAGTGAAATTCGAATTTATGTATTGCAGTGAAAAATCACGCCTTCTTTAATTGTAGTGTGATTTTTGAAGATAAGGGATTTATGTGAGATCCGGAAGGCCCTAGGCCTCATTTAATAATTTTTATTAAATATGCTTAAATAATGTCACCAAATAATACTTCGTTTTGGTGAGAAAAATATTGTTTTAGACGTGGGAAAAACTAGATGACAAATGTTATTTCCTTTCATCGAGGAGAACATCCGCTGTTTTTCCCATATCTGGTTAAAAATCTCGCTCAGATGGGAAATGGTTACCCCTCATTCATCCCCCTCTCATCCGTTCTCACGAAAGAGTTACTATACGATGATTGGACGAAGTTTGGAAATAAAAGGAGAAATTAGTCATAATTCGGGGAGTCCTCCGACCGATTTGAAAGTGTCCAGACTCCACATACGTTTCCTCCTGATGGCCAACGCCCATAACGGAGTCCGATAGACTAAGTCCCGAGTCTACACTTAGAAGAAGTGATATCTTTATATTTTGTGCACGAATTAATCTCCCATACGAAAGGAAGATGAACCCTATCTACAAGGTGTCCTATATCTACAGAAACGAAGACGACAACTAACAGGTCGTATGTTTAGAATCATTTTGTGAGCTCTCTCTCTCGAACGCGCATTAGCATAGATTTAGTCGTAGCCTCTAGTTTGTCGCTTAAATGGTTGTAATCGCATTTTTGTATTCGTTTGTTTAGTTTTATTAAATTATACTTATGTTTTATTTTATAAGAATGTCTCTTAATTGGGTGTCCGAGTCAGATCGCATACGCGTGTTAATCCGCGTATAAAAAGTTGATTAACTGGTGTCACGGAATCCTGACGAGTATCTGAACTTCGCCGTTCAGATCAATTTTGATACAGTGCCTTCCTATAAAAAGTTTAGAGAGCCGATCACACGATCGTGCGCCAGTAAGTGATATAAGTAATTTCCTTATACCCTTGGCTACTCTCACAATATCCAGCAAGAAGAAATTACATGAAAGCAAACATTTTCAACTGTGTTTAATGGGCATCATCAGGTCAACTGATCCTTGCAGTTTGAATGTAGCTGTTGAAACAAACAGCTACATTTGAACCCTCAGAGCTGATAAATCTAGGGACATCATCCTTATGTATAGGTCTACTTATCATAATGGCATTCAGAAATATATATAAGGGGTGTTCAATAAACAACCAACCAAATGCAACAGCATGAGATAGAAACAATTTATTTCAACAATAATTGCCCTGATTGTTAAGGCACTTATTCCATTGTGACACCAGCCTAGTTATGCCCTGTTTGAAGAAGGTAGCAGGACACTGGTGGAGCCAATGTCAGACAGCATCTTGGACTTCAGTGTCTGAGGAAAATCGTCTGCCTTTAAGTGTCTTTTTGAGTTCCCCAAAAACATGGAAGTTGCAGGGTGATAGGTCAGGACTATAGGGAGAGTGCTTGAGTACCTTCCAATGAAACTGCTGTAGTAGGTCCTTTGTCATGTGGTTGTGTGAGGATGTGCATTGTCATGCAGCAAGATGACTCCATTCTTGAGTTTTCCTCAATGCGCAGGTATTGAAGAAAACTCAAGAACTTGTAATAGAAATAGAATTTGTGTGCAAGATATTGCAGTAGGATGTTACATTGATGGTGCTGCCATGCTGCATAAACTGAACAAGCAGAGGCCCCTGATGGTCAAAAAACAGGATGAGCATCACCTTCCCTGCAGATGGTCGCACACTCTTGCTCTTTTTGGATGGAGGTGAATGTGGATGTTTCCACTGCATGCTGGCATGCTTTGATTCCAAATCATAATGGAAACACCATTATGATCTGGTCTCATCTCTCATCACAATGCAATAAAGAAAACCACTACCATGCAAAGCAAAACATGTCAGATGCTCTAATGACAAGCTCATTTGGTTACTGGTCTGTTCTTCAGTGAGTGAATGTGGCACCCACTGTGCACACACCTTCCTGAAAAGCAACGTTTTGTGCACAATACTATGCAAAGTACAGACACTCAGGTCTACTGCAGCTGCAATGTCATGAACTGTCTGTTTGCTAGCACCAAGTCTTCCACCATTTGCACCTTCTGCAGTGTGGCTGCATGCTGCAGACATCCCGGTCATTGGTCATCCTTCACGCGTGAATGTCTTTCCTGAAATTTTTTGGCCTACACCTTCATACCTTTGGTCTATACCTAGGATATACCTGATGCATTTGCCGATGAATTGCAGTGGGTCCACAACCTTCCACAACAAGGAACCTGATTATTCCACATTGTTCAACTTTGGAGGCTTCCATTGTCCAACAAAATCACTCAAATAAATGACTGACGCTACAGATGTTCGCCTTATATGGGAGTTGTCACTTTGGTGCACTGCACATTCGCATGCAAATTTTCTGCTTAGAGCTGCACTCATCAGCTGGTTATTTATTGAACACCCCTTATAATGACATCCATAATGTTCCTTAGCCCCTGACAGCTTCCTCCATAAGCTCCAGTCTAGGATACTTCAATTTTTGAACATTCCACTGGCAAAATTTTACAAAATAATTTCATTGTATAACACTACAATCACTGCCCTTGCCACACCTTGTTTTTTTGCATTCATGAAGATGCATAAGCCTGACACACAACTCCAACCAATTGTAGATAAATCTTTGTCATCTACTATATGCTTCAAAAGGATAGTCAACAATTACATCTTAGGCAACCTGTCTACCTACCTTTACATCATCACCGAGTTAATCAAACACTTCAAGTCCAGTATACTTTATGGTTTGTGACTTCCGTTCTCTTTATCCTTCCATCCATATAGAACCTTGCTTTTGTTCTCTGTGTAACTTCCTTCTTAATAATGTTCAGGTCTTGTCTAAACCACCTTAACATCCTAGAACTTGCTGATCTCTTATCCACACTTATTTTTTTTGCTTTCAAGGATAGAACTTTTCTGCAAGGTAGAGGTATGCCTACGGATAGCTTTCTCTTAGTCACCCTTTGTGAACTGGTTATTCAGCAACTTGAGGTCTCTGTCCTTATCTTCAACCACCACATTCTACTATATCAGGAATGGTGAACCTTTTTGAGTCCTCATGCCATATAGTAAGCATATTTACCTTTAATAATATTTGAATGAAAAGTTTTAGACTTCAAATAACAATATTTAAAGAAATGAAATGAATATACTTTAATAAAATAAAGAAGCTTGCACTTTTTATAAAAACAGCTGGATTATAGGTTTTAATGTTATTTATTTAAATATAACTACTTTTAAGTGGCCGTATTTTATAAAGAAGATGATTGAAAAAGATGAGTGGATGATAAACTGAAAGGATGATTGAAAAAGACAAGTGATAACCTGAAATCATGATATTTGTTACATTGTTATGTGCCAGATTACATTCCTATCCTATGTGCATGTTACATTGATGACATTCTTAGCTTGTGGAAGTAAAAATCCTATATTCAAGATTTTAGCATAAAATCAACATAAACTCTTACAGTCTCTGTACTCAAGAGAACGAGCAAGAAGTTTACCTCTTTGACCTCCAGCTTATCTTATCCAATGGATGCACCTCAACTAAAGTCTACACGACACATAAACTCCAGCTGATTTTCAACTGTCCCTTCTCATGATTCTGTTTTTCTTCAAAATGACCAGCTTCAATGCCTTAATTCATCAAGCCGTCATCCATTCATCTGACACTCAATTATGCCCATTAAAAAATATTGAAAATGTTTGCTTTCATGTAATTTATTCTTGCTGGATATTGGTTATATGAGCAGTGTTTATTAATATATTCCCAGTTTTGAGTAATTGAATTTATAAGTTGTGATTAATTAAATAAATGGTATTGAAAAATATTTCAGTTGAATTATTTATATGTAATAAAAAATTCTGGCATATAAATAAATATATTTTTAACTAAAATTAAAACTTTACATTAATTCAACCATTTTTGTTGTTAATGAAAAAAATTAATACATATACAGTAGAGCGTCGTTTATCTGAAGGTCGGTTATCCGAAAGAATTCCAATCGACAAATTTAAATTTTCGCCAGTGCTGTGGCACTTTAATCTTTAGCTATGTCTTGGGCTACTCAAATATTTTACGTTTTTGATACTAAATTAACTTCTGAAGTATAATTTTTTATTGTTTTTATATTTTTCAATATATTTATTTTGTTCGTACAAAATAAAAAAATAATTTTTAATGATACAATAGTCTTTGTTAGGCTTAACATCGACGAAAATTCAACGCGAAGCGACACGCAACGGAAAAAAATTTCAACATGGGATAAATTAATATATTTTTTCGTACATAATTGGTTATCCGAAAAATAAGTTATCCGAACAACCCCAGTCCCAATTGATTAGGATAAACGACGCTCTACTGTATAAATGAATTCATTCATTCACAAAACTTCTAAATTCATTGCCATTGCAACTATTTTTATTTTAAAATATTATGGGTACTGAAATTTAGATGTTATTTTTAACATTACTTGCTTAATAATAATTTTTATTTGGAAAATAAATTTTATTTAATTTGTAATAAAATTCACATTTTTTTCAGGCTCGGATTAGATCTGTTCATGAGGCAGTAGTTAGAGGAAACTTGGGAGAAGTGAAATCTGTTTTAACGAGAAAAAGATTTGCATTAAGTAGAGACCATTTAGGAGCAAGTCCTTTGCATCTTGCTGTTCTTCATGGTCATACTGATATCCTTAGATATATTATAAATCATTTTCCCGAAACATTAGATGGACCAGATAATGTAAGTTTTAACATTAAGTTACTTAAAAGTTTCAAGAACAGATAAAAATTACAAGTGTTTTTAGTTAATTATACAGTATAATTAATTAAAATGTTGGCACTCTTTTGTCAGTATTATTTATAAATATATAAGTAGTATACTTTGGTAGTATATTAAAACAGCAAAATACAGACTGGAGATTAAAAGCTCTCAGGAAAGTATCAATTTTGACACCGAGAACTTGTAAGAGTAAACTCTCTCAGGTGTGAAAGTTGACATGCATCTGCTATAGATAAAGTCAGTTTAAAGTTTCTCTCAATATTTTGAATAATATTTTGAATATTTCTTTTAATTTGTCCAGGTTAATCTCTGGGGTAAGGTTACTCTCTCTCTCTTTGGATAACACTGATAACATAAATGAAAATACAGTATAACTCTAATTACTCAAATTTGAAATTAATCAAATACTAAATCAAACTTCCTTGAGCAGTGTTTAGTCGTATACAATAAATTCCATTGCAGAAACTGTTAATATAACACAAGTAGGATTTTCTCTTTATAGATTGGAAGTTACTCTCTCTCTCTCTCTCTCTCATTCATATGGTTTCCTTGTGATTGAAAAAAATTTCCCCAAAATACAACAAAGAACAAAGGAGCATTTATAGATCATTGCATAATTAAAATGTTTGTGGTTAGGTTTAGTAATTTTCCATTAACATATTTTTTATTTACGATTCCTTTTGAGAAATGTACAGAATTCAGTTATAATATTGGTGAAGAATATCCCATGCTTGTTTTATGTATTTTTAAATGATAAAAGAACTGGATCTTTTATCATTTATCAGTTTTAGTTCTTTCCAAAACTAATTTATGGGATGAACTATAACATACAACTTTTTCTTTTAAAGTTCAGTTTTTATCTTAGCTAATATATTATTTTTTTTGTTATAGAAAATTTTATATATAGTATATATATAAATTTTACTAATGTGATATGATAATTATTATTTATATATTTTAGGAAGGAAGAACACCTTTACATTATGCTGCTATTATGAGAGATGGTGGTCATTATTATAAAATATTAAAAAATTCAGGAGCTGATGAAGAAGTTACTGATAAGGTAACTTTTTTATTAACTTACAAATATATTAACTAATTTAGTTTAATTATTTTCTTAATTATCAATAATTATCTTTTGAATAAGACATAAGAGAATTCATTGCTTATTTCAAAGTTTAAACTTAAAATCTTTATTTAAGAGGGCACTAAGAAGGTTTGACACATCAGGGACAGACTGACCATGAAAAATTCCTGGGCAGTTAAGAATTTATAATCTTGAAAACACATTAGTACACCTTTGAAATAGTTATTTTTTTACTTTAATTTAAGATTTTAAATGAATGTTAAAACTTACTTCTTACAATAGAAACAGCTAAAATATTAGATGGATTCTTAAAAATATAATAATAATTCTAATTCAATGTTTTTTTAATTAAATGAATAATAAGTGAATGATATGCTGTACTTAACTGAGAAATTAATTTTACATTTTTATTTTGCTATTTTATTAATGTAGATTTTGAATTATGTTAGGTGACTTATTCCTCAAGGCAGTTATTAACACAGGATTGAGATGCCAAGATAAAATTTAATGAAACATTTTGAAAAAGTTTCAGATAAAAAACAATCCACAGCATACAAATTTCATTTTAATTTTCTCCATAAGATATATACTTTTCTTATTTTGACAAAGTAATCATCAAATAAGAAAATAACTGATATATTTTATGGAAGAAATTAAATTGGAATTTGTATGTGCATCAAATTTAATGAGTTTTTATTGCATCATTTTACCATTAAGGTACTTTTTCATTGAAATTACAATGAATAAATTAATTTAGCATTAATAACTGTAAAAAAATAGAATAGAGACATTATATTTCTGTAAGAAAACTTTGTTTCCTTGTTTGTAAGAAAACTTCTAATAACAGAATATTCATCAACATTGTAGGAAAAACTGCTTTAGTAGAATCAAAAACAAAAATAAACAGATCAAAATACTGTATTAGAAAACTAATATTTAAGTTCAATTGAATGAAACATTTTCAAATGCTTTTGTGTTTGAGAATATATTGAATTATGTGTGTGTTTTGTATTTTTGTGAATACTGTTTTCTAAAGAAGTCCAAAATACTATGGAATTGTTTGTTTTTCTATGCTAATACCAATGAAACAGGATTTTTGCATTGCTCTGTTTGTTCAGATTCAAAATATTATAATAATTAAAGACTCGTTGATCATTTTTTTTTTATTCAATGGGAGATATTATATAATAATTAAAGATTTTAAGATTCATTCTTCTAAAGTTTTCTTGTCATTACCATAATGAAAATATTGGCAGATTTCATCAACATTTGTTAAAATTTAACTAGTGCATTAAAAAGTTTAACAATCGAAAATGTTTCATAAAACTTCATTAATGCTAATGAAGTGTTAAACCAATCATTACTTTAAAAGTCTGATTTTGGAGTATTAAAGTTTCTGTAATGGTACTTGAAGTTAAAAAGACAGTATATTGTGACACATTTGATGCAGAGTTATTATATATTTTTGATATTTTCTATATACAACCCAGAAGAAACTACCATTCAGACAATTATTTTGAACTTTTGGATGATAGTTTCATTATCAGTCTTTTAAAGTTGAAATTTCCCACATTTTTCTTTTTTGTTTAATTGTTAAAATTAAACTAGCAGTTCATGTATTTTCAATAAAATTTTGTGTTAGTTAAATTCAAAACTATAAAACATATTTCTCTACATCTCTACAATTTGAAATTATTTTGATTCTGATGTATGGCACATGACTGATGGCAGAAAAAATATTAAGAAATGACTTATTAAATTGAATTAAAGAATGTTGGGGTAAATGGAACTTTTTAATGAAATGCTAATTCTAATAATGAGTCATTTGAAAATGGCACATTTACTATTATTATAATGAAAGTTGGTTATTTTGGACAATTTTATCTCTAAATTTAAAATTTAATGAATTATTTTGAAAATATTTTAGGTCTTCATATGGAAATGAACAAAATTTGGAAACACATTTAAATAAAAAAAACAAGCAGTTTGAGAATTTTGTTTTGATTCTGGAAATGCTGACGTTGAAAACATTTATTGAGCAAAAATTTTTGGCTTTTTGATATTCAAGTTATTTTGATTAATTTTTGGAACTGTTCCATAAAATTACAGAACAAGAAAACTAGTAAATGTTGAGGTTAACTTTTTTAACATTTTCATAATAAATGATTCTATTTATGAAATTACATTAAAAGTCATTGAGAAATGTTTTTGAAAATTATCTAAAATTAACATAACTTTGTTTTTAGGCAGGACATACTGCAGAATTTTACATGAGACATCCCGGAGAAGTTACAATTCGAAATCTTCTTGAGGGATATAAGATTACAGTTGATAGCAACGAAGAGCCCAGCACAATTAATATTTGGCAAAGACCACCTACAGAGGAAATTGAAAAACGTAAATATTTTGATTTCATGACATTTGTAGTTATATCTGAAATATTAATTTATTATTATTTATTGGTCAAGGTACAAAGGGTGTTTAACCCTATTGCAGGAGGCATTTAGTTCACTGTTTTGTATTATTTTTTGTATACAAAAATTACAATTTGTCAAAACAAAAAATGTACAGTTTGAACAGTTGAATTTTGTCAAAAATGAAATATTTCAGCTAAATCAATATGACTCTTGCATTGGTCATAATTTGTTACATCGAATCAAAACATGAAAAGCAGAAAAATTTGAATCTGTGAACCAAAAACAATTTTTTGGAAATTAATAAAGACCTACATTATTTAGCTGTAATTGAATAACAAATTTTTATGTAAGATTCCACAGAAGGAATTTCTAGCATCTGTTATTACCAAAAGTGAAAAGCAGATTTAACCAAAACTCCTTAATAATTTAATATTGATTAAGAATTCAATTAATAATATGTAACTATACTTCCAATCTTTCTCAGAACTCTGAAATACTAAATGTATGTATGAGATAAATAAAACTAAACTTTGATTATATAAATTTATTTGAATATACAAAGTTCTAACAATAATTGATCATTATTGTCATTAATAAAACTCTAACACCAGTTAAAATCTCAATTTTTTTAAATAAAAAGGGAAAACAAAAATTTATTTAATGTTGTATAACATACAAAGCATAATCTATAATATTCTTTTCCACATGGAATAGTCTATGAAGTATTCCTTTAGGTGATTTAGAAAAATCACATTTGATATAAATATTCCACTGCCCAATTGAACTTGCTTAGTACACTGCTGAGTTTATTACAGTTACATAGTACATAGTTACATATATGAATTCAAATATTAGTTTTATTTCATTAAAAATTACAAAATCTTTCATTAATACAGTTTCGGGTTTATGCTATTGGTAATCCAAAACAAAAATTTTATTTTGTTTTTTTCCATTAATTGCATTCATCATTTTTAAGGTACATGAAATCTTGCAGCATCTTGCCTGGTCATGCTCATTCTTGTTCTCAGAAAGAGGTGCTGTGACACTTGTTTTGCACTAACCACTGTCACTTGCATCAGTCTTTGTCCAGAGTTCTCTCTTATAATCTGTTGTCTGTGTGATAGTGTTTCTGTTTTTTGCATTTGGAGCCATATTTGCAGTGATTCTGTTAGCTCTGTTAAACCAAAGCAAAGTCACAAAGTACCTAATTTAGAGGAAAAAAATTAACATTTTAGAATTAGTGAAAAAAGAAAAAAACAGCTTTAAAAAATTTTTGGAAACAAACTTTATGATTTATGTTATCTATTCTATTTATTGTTAATATAATGTTTATTTATCTTATTTACAAATGCCTGATAGATATACGTTAGTGTAGGAAATACTTAATAATTAATGGAGTTTGCTATTTACACAAATTTTCATTTATATAAGGGGTCTTGGAATGTATTGGTAACTTATGGTAGAGCCCTACAGTAATCTAATTGCTCCATTTGTCATACGTGAATCAAACCTCAATTTAACACAGTTATTTTTTGTCTCTAAATCTGACACTAAGTCCTGTGTGGTGCTAAACTGAAGGAGTTCAAACAATAAGAATTATATATAATAATGAAATCTAAAAATTGGTTTGAGTTTGAGAGTTTCAATGTCATTTGTAATGAAAAATTGTATATTTAGTAATTCACTAACAATGATGGTATTCTTTTTAGGAGTGGACTATATCAAGATTTGGCTGTATTTTAAACATGATTTAAAGTTACCATTTGTATGAAAGCTCACACTGAAATAGACAGTTTTGTTAATCTATTGAACTAGCTGGTTTTTTCTTCACATCAGATCTTTTGGAGTTGTTATAAAAGTCAATATTTTATTAATTTTTAAATGAATTGATTACATATAAAATTACATAAAAAGTTATATTAACCATCTGTTTACTATTTGAAGGATTGATAAAAAAAAAAATTGTTCAACTCCTTACATAATTAAAATTCACAGGAATAGAATATGAATTCAACTACTCAAAATGGGAAATGTATTAATAAACACTGCACATATAAATAATATCCATCAAGAAGAAATTAGAAGAAAGCAAATGTATTCTGGCTGGATATTGGTTATATGTGCAGTGCTTAATAGAATATCAATGATACACTTTTAAATTTTATCAATGTCAGAGAGAATTTTTATTTTTTAACAAGTTTTACATATTGAGACAGAAAAAAATCTCTTAATACAGTATTTGTTAATTTTCAAGCAAATGGTCGAATGACTTTTGTGTTACATGCAAAACTTACTTCTCTGTACACTGAAATTAGAGTGTTTGACTCTTTTGTGAAAAGTATGAATTATGAAGTTTCTTTTATTCCTGTGAATTTTAATTATATGTTTATCATCCTGGACATTGTTGATAACCTATCAACAATTAACTATTTCTTTTAAGTAAAATTTAAAAAAGAAAAAGAAAAGGGGGGTTACCTTGGAAAATACTTCTAGCAAGATTAAATTTGGTATATACAGGGTGAACTAAAAGTAGATGGACAGTAAATGATAACATTTATTGAGATTACATATACATATAAATTTTGAGATTATATACAATTATGTTTACTAATACAATACAATTTTATCAACAAAGGTGCTCAAACTGCTATCCATCATAATTTGACAGCTTTGAAGTCTACATTTCACCATTTCATGCTTCGACAAACATTTTTGCACAAATATCATTGTGTATTAATTTCTTGAAATGCATCTGTTGTAATTAACATCAGAGATATAGAGATAAATTATATCAAAAGATAACCATAAATATATACCATTGTTATAGTATAGCACTAACACAAACCCTATTACACCTACCAAAAGTAGGTGTAATAGGGTTTGTGTTTGGGTTATACTATAACAATGTATATTTTGTAATTTGTAAATAGAGAAAGAAAGTAGACTTCAGCTTTTTTCCTACCAATTTTGACACTGACACTAAATTATATGCTAAATTTGATTGTAATTATATATAAATTTAACATAATTATAAGAAGTATGTAATACTTCTTATAACTATGTTAAATTATAAGAAGTATTACATACTTCTTATAATTATCTAAACTTATCTACTATACTTATCTAAGAAACAATATAATAAAACTAAACTGCTTATTCAATAGCTTTGTTATTAGTAAATACATATTTAAATTTAGAGTTTATAACAATGAACTTCTTGGAATAGTTTAATCTATTAGCTAAAATTGCAAAAAAAAAATTTTTTTTCATAATTGACAGTAATGTGTATAAAAAAAAAATACATTAGCCTTGCATGTATTTTCCAGAAAAATTGGAATTCAANTTCGTTAGGCTTAACATCGACGAAAATTCAACGCGAAGCGACACGCAACGGAAAAAAATTTCAACATGGGATAAATTAATATATTTTTTCGTACATAATTGGTTATCCGAAAAATAAGTTATCCGAACAACCCCAGTCCCAATTGATTAGGATAAACGACGCTCTACTGTATAAATGAATTCATTCATTCACAAAACTTCTAAATTCATTGCCATTGCAACTATTTTTATTTTAAAATATTATGGGTACTGAAATTTAGATGTTATTTTTAACATTACTTGCTTAATAATAATTTTTATTTGGAAAATAAATTTTATTTAATTTGTAATAAAATTCACATTTTTTTCAGGCTCGGATTAGATCTGTTCATGAGGCAGTAGTTAGAGGAAACTTGGGAGAAGTGAAATCTGTTTTAACGAGAAAAAGATTTGCATTAAGTAGAGACCATTTAGGAGCAAGTCCTTTGCATCTTGCTGTTCTTCATGGTCATACTGATATCCTTAGATATATTATAAATCATTTTCCCGAAACATTAGATGGACCAGATAATGTAAGTTTTAACATTAAGTTACTTAAAAGTTTCAAGAACAGATAAAAATTACAAGTGTTTTTAGTTAATTATACAGTATAATTAATTAAAATGTTGGCACTCTTTTGTCAGTATTATTTATAAATATATAAGTAGTATACTTTGGTAGTATATTAAAACAGCAAAATACAGACTGGAGATTAAAAGCTCTCAGGAAAGTATCAATTTTGACACCGAGAACTTGTAAGAGTAAACTCTCTCAGGTGTGAAAGTTGACATGCATCTGCTATAGATAAAGTCAGTTTAAAGTTTCTCTCAATATTTTGAATAATATTTTGAATATTTCTTTTAATTTGTCCAGGTTAATCTCTGGGGTAAGGTTACTCTCTCTCTCTTTGGATAACACTGATAACATAAATGAAAATACAGTATAACTCTAATTACTCAAATTTGAAATTAATCAAATACTAAATCAAACTTCCTTGAGCAGTGTTTAGTCGTATACAATAAATTCCATTGCAGAAACTGTTAATATAACACAAGTAGGATTTTCTCTTTATAGATTGGAAGTTACTCTCTCTCTCTCTCATTCATATGGTTTCCTTGTGATTGAAAAAAATTTCCCCAAAATACAACAAAGAACAAAGGAGCATTTATAGATCATTGCATAATTAAAATGTTTGTGGTTAGGTTTAGTAATTTTCCATTAACATATTTTTTATTTACGATTCCTTTTGAGAAATGTACAGAATTCAGTTATAATATTGGTGAAGAATATCCCATGCTTGTTTTATGTATTTTTAAATGATAAAAGAACTGGATCTTTTATCATTTATCAGTTTTAGTTCTTTCCAAAACTAATTTATGGGATGAACTATAACATACAACTTTTTCTTTTAAAGTTCAGTTTTTATCTTAGCTAATATATTATTTTTTTTGTTATAGAAAATTTTATATATAGTATATATATAAATTTTACTAATGTGATATGATAATTATTATTTATATATTTTAGGAAGGAAGAACACCTTTACATTATGCTGCTATTATGAGAGATGGTGGTCATTATTATAAAATATTAAAAAATTCAGGAGCTGATGAAGAAGTTACTGATAAGGTAACTTTTTTATTAACTTACAAATATATTAACTAATTTAGTTTAATTATTTTCTTAATTATCAATAATTATCTTTTGAATAAGACATAAGAGAATTCATTGCTTATTTCAAAGTTTAAACTTAAAATCTTTATTTAAGAGGGCACTAAGAAGGTTTGACACATCAGGGACAGACTGACCATGAAAAATTCCTGGGCAGTTAAGAATTTATAATCTTGAAAACACATTAGTACACCTTTGAAATAGTTATTTTTTTACTTTAATTTAAGATTTTAAATGAATGTTAAAACTTACTTCTTACAATAGAAACAGCTAAAATATTAGATGGATTCTTAAAAATATAATAATAATTCTAATTCAATGTTTTTTTAATTAAATGAATAATAAGTGAATGATATGCTGTACTTAACTGAGAAATTAATTTTACATTTTTATTTTGCTATTTTATTAATGTAGATTTTGAATTATGTTAGGTGACTTATTCCTCAAGGCAGTTATTAACACAGGATTGAGATGCCAAGATAAAATTTAATGAAACATTTTGAAAAAGTTTCAGATAAAAAACAATCCACAGCATACAAATTTCATTTTAATTTTCTCCATAAGATATATACTTTTCTTATTTTGACAAAGTAATCATCAAATAAGAAAATAACTGATATATTTTATGGAAGAAATTAAATTGGAATTTGTATGTGCATCAAATTTAATGAGTTTTTATTGCATCATTTTACCATTAAGGTACTTTTTCATTGAAATTACAATGAATAAATTAATTTAGCATTAATAACTGTAAAAAAATAGAATAGAGACATTATATTTCTGTAAGAAAACTTTGTTTCCTTGTTTGTAAGAAAACTTCTAATAACAGAATATTCATCAACATTGTAGGAAAAACTGCTTTAGTAGAATCAAAAACAAAAATAAACAGATCAAAATACTGTATTAGAAAACTAATATTTAAGTTCAATTGAATGAAACATTTTCAAATGCTTTTGTGTTTGAGAATATATTGAATTATGTGTGTGTTTTGTATTTTTGTGAATACTGTTTTCTAAAGAAGTCCAAAATACTATGGAATTGTTTGTTTTTCTATGCTAATACCAATGAAACAGGATTTTTGCATTGCTCTGTTTGTTCAGATTCAAAATATTATAATAATTAAAGATTTTAAGATTCATTCTTCTAAAGTTTTCTTGTCATTACCATAATGAAAATATTGGCAGATTTCATCAACATTTGTTAAAATTTAACTAGTGCATTAAAAAGTTTAACAATCGAAAATGTTTCATAAAACTTCATTAATGCTAATGAAGTGTTAAACCAATCATTACTTTAAAAGTCTGATTTTGGAGTATTAAAGTTTCTGTAATGGTACTTGAAGTTAAAAAGACAGTATATTGTGACACATTTGATGCAGAGTTATTATATATTTTTGATATTTTCTATATACAACCCAGAAGAAACTACCATTCAGACAATTATTTTGAACTTTTGGATGATAGTTTCATTATCAGTCTTTTAAAGTTGAAATTTCCCACATTTTTCTTTTTTGTTTAATTGTTAAAATTAAACTAGCAGTTCATGTATTTTCAATAAAATTTTGTGTTAGTTAAATTCAAAACTATAAAACATATTTCTCTACATCTCTACAATTTGAAATTATTTTGATTCTGATGTATGGCACATGACTGATGGCAGAAAAAATATTAAGAAATGACTTATTAAATTGAATTAAAGAATGTTGGGGTAAATGGAACTTTTTAATGAAATGCTAATTCTAATAATGAGTCATTTGAAAATGGCACATTTACTATTATTATAATGAAAGTTGGTTATTTTGGACAATTTTATCTCTAAATTTAAAATTTAATGAATTATTTTGAAAATATTTTAGGTCTTCATATGGAAATGAACAAAATTTGGAAACACATTTAAATAAAAAAAACAAGCAGTTTGAGAATTTTGTTTTGATTCTGGAAATGCTGACGTTGAAAACATTTATTGAGCAAAAATTTTTGGCTTTTTGATATTCAAGTTATTTTGATTAATTTTTGGAACTGTTCCATAAAATTACAGAACAAGAAAACTAGTAAATGTTGAGGTTAACTTTTTTAACATTTTCATAATAAATGATTCTATTTATGAAATTACATTAAAAGTCATTGAGAAATGTTTTTGAAAATTATCTAAAATTAACATAACTTTGTTTTTAGGCAGGACATACTGCAGAATTTTACATGAGACATCCCGGAGAAGTTACAATTCGAAATCTTCTTGAGGGATATAAGATTACAGTTGATAGCAACGAAGAGCCCAGCACAATTAATATTTGGCAAAGACCACCTACAGAGGAAATTGAAAAACGTAAATATTTTGATTTCATGACATTTGTAGTTATATCTGAAATATTAATTTATTATTATTTATTGGCCAAGGTACAAAGGGTGTTTAACCCTATTGCAGGAGGCATTTAGTTCACTGTTTTGTATTATTTTTTGTATACAAAAATTACAATTTGTCAAAACAAAAAATGTACAGTTTGAACAGTTGAATTTTGTCAAAAATGAAATATTTCAGCTAAATCAATATGACTCTTGCATTGGTCATAATTTGTTACATCGAATCAAAACATGAAAAGCAGAAAAATTTGAATCTGTGAACCAAAAACAATTTTTTGGAAATTAATAAAGACCTACATTATTTAGCTGTAATTGAATAACAAATTTTTATGTAAGATTCCACAGAAGGAATTTCTAGCATCTGTTATTACCAAAAGTGAAAAGCAGATTTAACCAAAACTCCTTAATAATTTAATATTGATTAAGAATTCAATTAATAATATGTAACTATACTTCCAATCTTTCTCAGAACTCTGAAATACTAAATGTATGTATGAGATAAATAAAACTAAACTTTGATTATATAAATTTATTTGAATATACAAAGTTCTAACAATAATTGATCATTATTGTCATTAATAAAACTCTAACACCAGTTAAAATCTCAATTTTTTTAAATAAAAAGGGAAAACAAAAATTTATTTAATGTTGTATAACATACAAAGCATAATCTATAATATTCTTTTCCACATGGAATAGTCTATGAAGTATTCCTTTAGGTGATTTAGAAAAATCACATTTGATATAAATATTCCACTGCCCAATTGAACTTGCTTAGTACACTGCTGAGTTTATTACAGTTACATAGTACATAGTTACATATATGAATTCAAATATTAGTTTTATTTCATTAAAAATTACAAAATCTTTCATTAATACAGTTTCGGGTTTATGCTATTGGTAATCCAAAACAAAAATTTTATTTTGTTTTTTTCCATTAATTGCATTCATCATTTTTAAGGTACATGAAATCTTGCAGCATCTTGCCTGGTCATGCTCATTCTTGTTCTCAGAAAGAGGTGCTGTGACACTTGTTTTGCACTAACCACTGTCACTTGCATCAGTCTTTGTCCAGAGTTCTCTCTTATAATCTGTTGTCTGTGTGATAGTGTTTCTGTTTTTTGCATTTGGAGCCATATTTGCAGTGATTCTGTTAGCTCTGTTAAACCAAAGCAAAGTCACAAAGTACCTAATTTAGAGGAAAAAAATTAACATTTTAGAATTAGTGAAAAAAGAAAAAAACAGCTTTAAAAAATTTTTGGAAACAAACTTTATGATTTATGTTATCTATTCTATTTATTGTTAATATAATGTTTATTTATCTTATTTACAAATGCCTGATAGATATACGTTAGTGTAGGAAATACTTAATAATTAATGGAGTTTGCTATTTACACAAATTTTCATTTATATAAGGGGTCTTGGAATGTATTGGTAACTTATGGTAGAGCCCTACAGTAATCTAATTGCTCCATTTGTCATACGTGAATCAAACCTCAATTTAACACAGTTATTTTTTGTCTCTAAATCTGACACTAAGTCCTGTGTGGTGCTAAACTGAAGGAGTTCAAACAATAAGAATTATATATAATAATGAAATCTAAAAATTGGTTTGAGTTTGAGAGTTTCAATGTCATTTGTAATGAAAAATTGTATATTTAGTAATTCACTAACAATGATGGTATTCTTTTTAGGAGTGGACTATATCAAGATTTGGCTGTATTTTAAACATGATTTAAAGTTACCATTTGTATGAAAGCTCACACTGAAATAGACAGTTTTGTTAATCTATTGAACTAGCTGGTTTTTTCTTCACATCAGATCTTTTGGAGTTGTTATAAAAGTCAATATTTTATTAATTTTTAAATGAATTGATTACATATAAAATTACATAAAAAGTTATATTAACCATCTGTTTACTATTTGAAGGATTGATAAAAAAAAAAATTGTTCAACTCCTTACATAATTAAAATTCACAGGAATAGAATATGAATTCAACTACTCAAAATGGGAAATGTATTAATAAACACTGCACATATAAATAATATCCATCAAGAAGAAATTAGAAGAAAGCAAATGTATTCTGGCTGGATATTGGTTATATGTGCAGTGCTTAATAGAATATCAATGATACACTTTTAAATTTTATCAATGTCAGAGAGAATTTTTATTTTTTAACAAGTTTTACATATTGAGACAGAAAAAAATCTCTTAATACAGTATTTGTTAATTTTCAAGCAAATGGTCGAATGACTTTTGTGTTACATGCAAAACTTACTTCTCTGTACACTGAAATTAGAGTGTTTGACTCTTTTGTGAAAAGTATGAATTATGAAGTTTCTTTTATTCCTGTGAATTTTAATTATATGTTTATCATCCTGGACATTGTTGATAACCTATCAACAATTAACTATTTCTTTTAAGTAAAATTTAAAAAAGAAAAAGAAAAGGGGGGTTACCTTGGAAAATACTTCTAGCAAGATTAAATTTGGTATATACAGGGTGAACTAAAAGTAGATGGACAGTAAATGATAACATTTATTGAGATTACATATACTTATAAATTTTGAGATTATATACAATTATGTTTACTAATACAATACAATTTTATCAACAAAGGTGCTCAAACTGCTATCCATCATAATTTGACAGCTTTGAAGTCTACATTTCACCATTTCATGCTTCGACAAACATTTTTGCACAAATATCATTGTGTATTAATTTCTTGAAATGCATCTGTTGTAATTAACATCAGAGATATAGAGATAAATTATATCAAAAGATAACCATAAATATATACCATTGTTATAGTATAGCACTAACACAAACCCTATTACACCTACCAAAAGTAGGTGTAATAGGGTTTGTGTTTGGGTTATACTATAACAATGTATATTTTGTAATTTGTAAATAGAGAAAGAAAGTAGACTTCAGCTTTTTTCCTACCAATTTTGACACTGACACTAAATTATATGCTAAATTTGATTGTAATTATATATAAATTTAACATAATTATAAGAAGTATGTAATACTTCTTATAACTATGTTAAATTATAAGAAGTATTACATACTTCTTATAATTATCTAAACTTATCTACTATACTTATCTAAGAAACAATATAATAAAACTAAACTGCTTATTCAATAGCTTTGTTATTAGTAAATACATATTTAAATTTAGAGTTTATAACAATGAACTTCTTGGAATAGTTTAATCTATTAGCTAAAATTGCAAAAAAAAAATTTTTTTTCATAATTGACAGTAATGTGTATAAAAAAAAAATACATTAGCCTTGCATGTATTTTCCAGAAAAATTGGAATTCAATTATATATTATTTCATCATATTTTGTTACTAACAAATTTTTAAGGACAAATAAGAAGAAAGTTTTAAAAATTTTGGTTGGATTATATTTTAGCTCCTGAAATTGAATCATAACAATCTTGGAAATAACTCCTCTATATGTTCAATAGTTAGCACAGATTTCAAAATTTAACATTTGTATGAGAACACAATCTATTAATTGCAATCCAAAAAGTGTTTAGTATTTTTTCTGTTATTCAATTAAGATATTAATTCTAATTAATTCAAAGTATCATGCTTTCCTTGTTTTTTATTAAATTTAAATACATTGTTTTCGTTTTTCTATGGTAATCCAAATTTCCTTTATTGACATTCAGAAAGAATTCTTCCAAACTGTTTTAATTTGTTTTGTTACTACTAATTAAACTGTTTAAAAAAATTTCATTTTACACTCTGCCCTTCAAATATAAAGTGTATTCATACAACATACCGTATATATAAAGCCCCAATGAAAAGAATAAAATAATAAATTGACTTAATTTTTGTGATTATAAAATGACTATTAAGTAAAAATATGACAAACTATATTTCCCTTATTGTACCAGAAGCAAAGCTTTGATTTCATTTACAGATTGTCCCTCTCTGGCTACAAGGGGTCAGTTTTATGAATGAATTAACTGTTAAAAAATATTTAATTTGAGTGTTTTGTGCAGGTTGAAACCAAATTGAATTTTAGCCTTTATTAATTAAATAGTGAACTGATGAACTCATGACCCTTGTGAAGTAATGCAAAGAGCAAAAACATTCATGTCTTACATATAAATAAAAATCGTAACTTTTAATAAATTTTTATAAAATGTAAAAAGATATTTTGTAAATTCAATTACGTGTTCAGTTGTATCTCATCATGAAGTACTTTTAAATGACTAGTATGATTGGTATTTTTTGCACTAGGATCAAATGTTTTACATGCAGCTTATTATATTGTGGTTTCATAGAGAAATATAAAAGGACAGATTCCTACAAAAATATTTTAATTATAGAAGCTGATTATTTTTTAGACTTCTTGAGAAGTTATATTTTGCATTTGTTTGGGAAAAATAAATTTATAAGTGGTACAAGAATAACTAACAAAAATTATATTTTGTATGATTATCTCTTATTTCTCTTGTTCCTTCAATATCAATGTTCTTTCTCTGTTTCTTTGTAATTTGCAATGAGTAATTTTATTCTCTTTTTCTTTAAAAAAAGCACTTGCAGGTCATTATTATCTATTTCTTTTATCTAACCCATGTAAATACACAGTTGTTTTGTGTAAACTTTTACATTTATCTAATTAGTTATTTGGTGATAAATTTGAGTTGTCAATTCCAACACCTGAGTCTTCTATGATAGCAACTGGTGACGACTTCTCTTTAGTTGTTATCAAGGAAAAGTGACTCACTTTCCATTTGTGATTCAATTATATTGCAAGCATTTTTTGTGCCTCATATTTTACTATTTTAGCAATCATATGCTGTCCACTGTCGTCTTTTTTTAAGAGTATTGATGAGAGTTTTTGACTCTTCTTTCATTCATCATATTTCTCACTTTTAGGGGATACCTTCAGATCTGATGAAACAATTGACAAAGAGAGTATTAGTGTCTTGAGATAATGTAGA